CGTGAGCATCGAGCAGCAGCAGGCATGTCACACAGCTCGTGATTCGGACTGCTTTGAACGCACCGAGCGTGAAGACACGATCGTCATCAAGTTTGGCTGTTATGGGTGCATGACATGCAGTGCTACCAACATTGTGAATGGAACCGAAACAACAGCCGAATGGAGCTACATGCTCTCCAAGCCAAGACGTGGGTTCTTTGTTTCTCTTTCATAGTCCATTTCTTTCTTTCCTCGTCTCTCTTTCTTTCTCCTATCTCTCTCTCTCTGTCTCTCTACTTCTCTCTCTCTCTCTCTCTCTGTCTCACTCTCTCGCTCTCTCTCTCTCTTGTACCCGGAGCATTTCTTGTTCCCCTCCTTTTCATTCAATCTGTTCATGCGGTAGTTCTCTGCCTCCAACACATTGTGTGTGTATGTGTGTGCACGTGCGCAAGGATGTGTGCGTGTGTGTGTGTGTGTGCTGTGTGTGCACTTACATTTTTGTAGCTATTTGTATTCTATCCTTGTGCTTGCTGCCAAGCCTCTGTCCTCGGTTACCCATTTTTTCACTTTCTGCCAACCTCTCACCCTCTACGTATGTAGAGTCTAAGATTGCACCCTGCACACCAACAGATGACATCACCACCAGGTTTCTCATCGAGCCGCCGATCATCACACCCTCATCAAACGTAACGGTGGGAATACCGCTGGTGAACATCACGTTCCACTACACCTGTCGCAACTTCACCTATTTCAATCTACACCACAGCAATGACTGGATCTCTGTGTCAGCCACTGACATTGACCAGCAGCACTAGTAAGTCTGACTGCACGTTATGTTGCCCTCAAACTTGGTAGGAAGGTCAGCTCTTTGGCCGAGTGATTGTGGGCTTGCCTGCGAATCACAATGTCCTGAGTTCGAGACCCATGCTGGGAGAAGGGAGCATGTGTGACTGTGTTATCACATGCGGTGGCGCATGCGTGAACCACTTCATGTGCATTGAACTGCACTGACACCCATGCTCAACTGAGTACTCACTACTCGGAGTGCGGGTAACATGGACGCAGCCAACGAGGTTCGCCCCCTTATTGAACATTGGTTGTGAGACTTACCACCTCACCTTTGCCGTTTACGGCGCAGCATCAGCCACCCTGGTGTAATCAGGCATTGTGGTGACAAGGCACGGGCGCAACTTCTCTAAGCTGGTTGTGTTTCTCAACACAACTGTATGCCGGTTGTAACGCGTATGTGCGAACTTTACTTTGTTTTTATTTTAACCTTTGGTATTGGTAAATATGGCCCATCCACCATCACATGTAGCAGAGCTCAAAGGAGACAGAAGCGGAAAGGTTGGCATTGCATTGCTGCCCTGTACGCTACCTGGTTTATTATTACTGTTATTACATGTAGGTATTGTTAGCCCCCGGCTAAACGAAGTCCCGTCACACTTCCAGAACACAGCGGTTTATAGTGTTTGAACACAGAACAGAACAACAAGGACTGAATCAAGGCTTGTTTGCTGCGACTTGAAGTTTCATGCTCTCGCAATCATCAGCCAACTAGTGTTGAATATAGAATAATATTTCAACAAGAGTGTAGACAAGAATGAGAAGGAGAACAGGACAACAACAACTCGACTAGAGAACCACTGGAGCATGTGCTCTTCTATACGTGGGTGGCTCTCATTGCTAAGGGCAACGAGCGGGAAATACGAATAGTGAGTATGCAAGTCTTTGTATAAATACACCTATTACGGTATCTCACAACGAAGCATATCTGCGGAGGCCAGCTAAATTTATAGGCTTCTTCCTTTGGGGTATCGATCAAATAACGCTATAATCATGAGAAGCTGTGACTGGTGGCAGTCATCCCCGCACAGTTGGTGTTTCTTGTTATGCTAGCTCCAATCTTAGATATGTAGGTATTAGGCTTCTTGAGCTTAATGAACTTTCCATCAATACCGTGGCACTCAAGATCATCAGTCACCGCAGTTTTGGGAGTGAAATGTGTTCTGTCCGTTTAAAGACTAGTGGCTTGTTGATGGACTGTAGCGCTCGGAACTCGGAACACGGAAAGTGCGTAACGTTACATTCCTCTGTGTATGCAGTATATCTGTAGCGTGACAACTAATTACTTACACCTAGGTGATGGTGAGACTGTGGCACTGCACACACTCTAACTTAGTCCATGTCTACGTGTACTGCTGTTGCATTTGTGCTGTGCATGCACCTGTCTACAGTATTATCTACAACAACACTATCTCCTACATGGAGTGCATATTCAGCACGACCCTGAGCATCTTCAATCCGACGGTAGCTCATGACGGAACGTTCTACTTTGACTTCGTGACATCGCAGGACAATCAAAACCACCACTATGAGAATGTGACACTGCATGTCACCAGTAAGGTCAGGGTGTTCACACAATGACTTTCATTGCACACACACACAGAAACACAGTGGGTATGCAAGGGTATTTTTCATCAGTTGCATGCACACAGAAACACTGTTTGTATACAAGGGTGTCATGCACAAAGAAATACCGTGGATATACCATAGCATGTAAGAAACATGGGTACCCAGCAGTCCTCGCTACAAACGTTCCCTGGCTTTGGATATTGAAGAGTGCAAAACGTGCATGATAAGATAGAAAGTATAATTTTGAGAATCATGCACCACTTCATGCAAGCCACACATGGAGAGGCTATCGAAAATAACATTGATTTTGTCCTTATGGATGTGTGCACCCAGTGAACGAAGGAGATGGAGAGAGAGAGAGAGAGCGAGAGAGCGAGAGAGAGAGAGAGAGAGAGAGAGAGAGAGAGAGAGAGAGAGAGAGAGAGAGAGAGAGAGAGAGAGAGAGAGAGAGAGAGAGAGAGAGAGAGAGAGAGAGAGAGAGAGAGAGATGGTCTAGGAAATACAACACTGGTTACTTCTGATTTTAGCCCAGTGATCATGCTAGTCTTAATGATGTACTGAGTATCCCTTCCCTGCAGAGGTATGTGCGAGTGGTCCTATGTTGCATTTTATTTGTCAAAGTAGCACTGTCCTTGGCAGCATGTGTCGTCGTTGTTCACCAGGATTCCACCAGGACTGGTGTGATTCCCTGAGTCCATTACCATTGATTTCCATGCACAGAGCGAACATGTCCTCTTGGCATCTCACCACCGCTACCGTGTCGAACGCACGAGGAGTGCGTTATGGACTGGGAGAACAAGCCAACGTGTAACTGTGAGGATGGATATGTGGGCAAGGCGTGCCAATATCGTGAGTGATTGTCACTTGCATGACCAATGTTTACCAGGGTCACTATACAGTGTACGGGATGTTTACAGCGAATTGTGTACATACAGTGGAATGTATGCATACAGTGGAATGTATGCATACAGTGGAATGTATGCATACAGTGGAATGTATGCATACAGTGGAATGTATGGATACAGTGGAATGTATGCATACAGTGGAATGTATGATACAGTGGAATGTATGCATACAGTGGAATGTATGCATACAGTGGAATGTATGCATATAGCTGATTTTATGCATACAGTGGATAGTGTTCATAGTAACTTCAGACAGTGGACAGTGGGCATACAGCGGATTGTATGCATACAGGGTAATGTGTGTCGACGGCGGATGGTGTGTACGCAGAGAAGTGTGTACATACAGCCGATTATAATTATATATATACAGCAGTTTGTGTTCATATAATGAATTGTGTGCATACAGTGGATTGTGTGCCTAAAGGAGGTTGTGTGCCTATAGGGGTTGTGCGCCCATAGGGGATTGTGTGCCTAGAGGAAGTTGTGTGCCTACAGGGGATTGTGTGCCTACAGGGGATTGTGTGCCTATAGGGGTTGTGATCCATTTAAAAAAAATTACATGCAAGTGCACATGCCTACATAGAACGGAAGAGAACACCACAACAACAACAACAACAACAACAACAGCAAGAGAACATAGGGTACTACAAAGGGCGTGTAGGTGCTATAAAGCTGTGCCGGTGAGGTGAAGTGTGCTCCCCGGACCATTGGTCTCGGGATCAAGGCGCACATCACACACCATGGGGGAGAGGGAGAGAAGAAAGACTGTGTGTGTGTGTGTGTGTGTGAAAGAGAGAGAGCATGAGAGCGAGAGAATTATGTGAGGAGTATCGTAACCTGCTCCTTTTCGAGCTCCTCACATCTATTGCTGTCGTACATTAAGTTGCTGGCACTCCAGTTGTTGGAGTCCAGTCATTCGCACCACTGTTCCGGTAGCATCTGCGAGATTTGTGCCAATATACGGAGAGAGGTCAGCTTTCACACATAGTCTGGTATTCTCAACAAGCTCTCTTTTAATAGCTTAGTTATTAACCTGAAAATTGTCTTCTTCTGGTTGAACTCTTTACAGGTTGTCCTGAACATGATTTCAACGAGAATCAAGTCAACAGTAGCATAGTACTCCCAGCGGACTGCGGACAGGTGGCCGTTCAGTTGGTCTGCCTGAACGCCAGTGTCAACCAGGTGGTGCGCTGGCAGCCCACCACCCTCCTGCTGAGCAGCTTTGGGCGAGAGGTCTCCATCTACGAGCGTGTGGTGACACGACCGATTCACTACACGTGCTTGGACAAGGATACGGGTGATGTTCTCGGACACGTTTCTGTTCTTACTGCAAGTGAGAAAACCTGTCCCTGTTAATAATAATTACAATTACTATAGTTTTGATCATGCTAGAACACACTTTCCGATTTGTTTGTAGAAAGGCAACTTCTAGGTTGGCAGTCGTGAGTCAGTCAAGTGTGAAGTCAGTCGACGGAAAAGCGCGAGCTCTGGTGTAGGGAGCACCTTTCCTATGAAAGGCAATTGGTCAATTATGACGGATTCAATTTTATGTGCACCAGAGACTGGTCACAGAGGACAAAATGGATTGCCGCAGTTTGTTTCCTGTTGTAAAGAGGCGTTTAAGGTTTCCCCCTTGCAGTTACAATTAGATAGGTGTGACCTTTGATAGGAAACATGCTACTGTTGTTGTTGTTGTTGTTGTTGTTGTTGTTGTTGTTGTTGTTGTTGTTGTTGTTGTTGTTGTTGTTGTTGTTGTTGTTGTTGTTGTTGTTGTTGTTGTTGTTGTTGTTGTTGTTGTTGTTGTTGTTGTTGTTGTTGTTGTTGTTGTTGTTGTTGTTGTTGTTGTTGTTGTTGTTGTTGTTGTTGTTGTTGTTGTTGTCATTGTTGTTTATAATTAATTTACTTCACCAAAATGAGCTGTGACGCCCGGTTCTCACAGGATGCCCTCCGGACTTACACCATAATTATTGTCTTGCGATCATACTTGCCTGTACATGATGCATTTCTTTATCCCCTCAAGTTCCAGGAGTGTTGGCCATTGCCTTCTTTGTTTGCAGACAAGCCAGTGTTGATGCCTGGCCAGCAGGTCACGATACACGTTGACAACAGCTCACAGACACTCGTGACCAGGATCAACGTGGACCTGACGAAAACATTTGGACCCGGACCCCTCGTGTACAGGTGGCGTGCCATGTCCGTTGGGGAGCTATGTGGCTGGCCAGGGGAGGACGTCTGTGTGCTGAAGAGTGATCCTGAAGAGCTTCACGTTGTACATCTGAAACAGTAAGTGCTTTGGTGGTTGTTGTACAGAAAACGTGGTAACCAAGCTACATCACAATTTATTTCGTACTAATCTAGCCAGGCAGGCACAGTGGGTTGGTCTAAGACCATGATTGAGATACGGGAAGTGCCTGGTTCAAGTCCTACCTGGGAGCGGCTTTGTGCACTTGTGTCGTGCATTCACGTTGTGCACTCGTGTTGTGCACTCGTGTTGTGCACTCGCTTTGTGCACTCACTTTCCATTGCTCAGATGCTCTACTCTGCTTGCCCTGTTCGCTTTTGCACTTGTGTAATTCTGGCACCTCTGCATCAATGAAAGCTTGCGTCGCGTCCCACTGCGGTATCTGGTATGACTTTCTGAAATTGCGGTGCAAACAAGCCTAAAATTGCAAATATTCTCGAGCAAAATTGGTATGCTGAGATCTTTGTGAAGTTTAAAAAGTAGAAACAGTGGTGCAAATGCAATCTTCAACCTGTGCTATCCCGATATCGACTGCGGGGACAGCTCCTTAGAAGCTCTTCATAAGACTGATGGTGGCTTTGATCTGCAGGTGCATGATTGTATTGCTGTATGTGATGTTGTTTGACAATACATCTCTAGCTGCTCAGGTCAATATCAAGGGTGTGTTGAGAATAACTATGGGGAAACGTGCATCATGGTGCATGTAATCGTCAATTCATGTAAGTAGTGACATCATGTTCAGATATGATTACATCATGTTCAGATATGATGACATCATGTTCAGATATGATGACATCATGTATAAAATATGACTGAGCATGTGCTTTGTGTCTCGCCCAACTGATATGTGTATGCCGGTTTTACTTGCTGTTCAGACAAACTGGAATTTTAAGTATAAACATGCTTGTTCATATCTGGGTCCCTTGTTCAGCTAACTGCGACCTGGACCCTGTCCTGTTGGGACCATTCTCTCACCAGCCGGCCTATGTAGCGAACATCACTGCCGGCGGTGAGCACGTGGAGAACGCATTGTTCTACTTTGACTATGTGGTGAGTGGCAGAACTGTGTGTCTGGTCTCATACACAATGTCCTAGAGCCAGCTATGTAGTTTGGAGTTTCCTGGCACCACTTGTGGAGTAGTACTGGCAAGGTCTGTAGGACTGGTCCTATTTTGATGGCTATGAAATGCAGTGCATGAAATACTTCTTTTGAGGTACATTACTTGTGCTGTATGTTCCGCTATTGGGCTAGTGATGGATAGGGGTGAAATGCAAAGAGAGCACTTGAGCAATCCGACAAGGTGCTATCATGCTACTTGTTAGCAATGTGAGGAGTTCACTGTGTCGTGTGTCGTTTTCCACGATGTGCTTAGGCCAGTGGGGACTTACAGCTGATGTCACACAGTGTCAACTCTTCCAGTGATGCTATATTGCCAGCCGTGATCGCCGGTGGCGACAACACGACCAGCCCGGTTGAAAGCCTGCACTGCTGCCAACGAGCCATCATGGCGGCTGGAAGTACCTACAAGATCTGCACGATACCGGAACGTAATAAAACGAAACAGTGCTTCAAGGGCCTGGTCTCTACTCCGGCGCTAGTGCGCGAAGTCATACCCGTGTCCCACTTGACTGTACAGCGAATGGTCGGTATCGGCGTTGGAGTGTTGCTTGCTCTCCTGCTGCTCATCATCACCCTGGTTACCGGTGAGTGGAGTGCTGACTGATAGCCACACTACATAGCAACTCTTACCCATGCCGCTGATAATACAGATAGTACACCTGCTTGATGGACATGCCATGTGCAAGCTAGCAATGTGATGGGGGCAAGGCAAGCTATGCTGGTATTGCTTTGTTGGGCCACACGGGAAACGTCATCAACAACGGCCATTCCCTGTTTCAGCCTAAAGGCTCTCGCAGTTCTTAAAAAAAAAAATTGATTGGCGTAACAAAGTGACTACTTGCATACAATCTGGATGTATGTTCTGAGTTTCAGGCAGTGCTTGCTCTCCACGTACTCCGAGTTTCAGGCAGTGCTTGCTCTCCCTATACTCTGAGTTTCAGGCAGTGCTTGCTCTCCATGCACTCTGAGTTTTAGGCAGTGCTTGCTCTCCATGTACTCGGATACTGGGAGTTCTACTCTTTGAATCTCAGTTTCATATTTTGAGCTGTCTTTTTGAATTTTAATGGATACATGTGAATAGTGTACCGCCACTTGTAAACACTTCCATTCCTGAACAGGCTCAGTCTTAGCTGCAGCGAATGAATGAAGCCAATATTGGCAGTCCTTCATTCATTCTGTGCGGCTTAGAGCCTGTTCGGGAATGAAAGTGTTTACAAGTGGAAAGAAATCGCTGCAGTGAAGTTGGAGAGTTCTTTGGGAAATGTACTATACTGATAAGACAGTTGATTAGAGTGGAGGACGCGAGGAAAGATATTGCGACAGAATTTTTGGCTGGCCATACTCCATACACTTTTTCTCAACCCGTCACCACCATTCGCTCTCAGCTGAACCAATGCATGAAGCATAAGCAATGGCGCACTTGCGCTGTTTCTGCTGTATACGAATGATCATTCCTTACACTCCATTATCATCATTATCATCCTCTACTGATGAGCTCGAAGGAGTGAAACAGCTGTCCGAAGGCGCAATACTTATTCGTCAACGGAAGATTCCTAGCTGTGCTGGTGTGTGTTATGCTTGGTGCATTGGTTCGGCTGAGAGGGCATAATGGTGACGGGTTGAGAAAGTAGTGATGTGAGGATAGGGCAATTCTTAGGCATAGTCTTGATACTTGAAGTACAAGACTTTTGTACATATATGAGTTTGTTCTGTATGGCAACACTTTGTTGTACCTCTTGTGTGCAACATTGCTTGTGTACCTCTTGTGTGCAACATTGTTACACGATGTCTGCAGTACGCCGCCGAAAGTGGAATACCACCACAGCACTAACAGAGAGCGAGGGTCTCGATTTGGTGGATTCCGGTGAGAATGGCTACTTACCTTGCTCTCACTGCCTTTTGAACTACTCAGTATCAAAGAGAATGAATGCGCTTGATTAATTAAAAGTTAAAGGGGAAGTTTAGCCTAAAATCAAATTTTCACAAGCCGTAGTCTTCGGGGTGCTTAGTCGTATGGTCTTGGTCCGAGGAAGCTGAGACGCTCCCTTCCTCCTTTATTCCCAATCGAACTCCCAACTTCCACCGAAACTGGGTGACTGCGCCCTTCTAGATGGGGGTTTGTATGCAAAATGTCACTAAAAACGCCATTTTGTTCTTATAAAAGCACAGATGACCGCAATTGGCCCATACGTTGTCTTTTGGACACTAAGTCGACTGGTTTTGGTCCGAGAAGGCTGCGATGCAGCGTTCGGCCCTTATTCCCATTCAAACATGGTTGAATAAGCGGTCACGTGCTCGTGCATACACCAGTCGCCTGGTCACCGTGCCTGCAGGGTACAACTTACAGCCTGTTTGAGTGCGTTCCTGTCACTCGAGTTAAACCTTTGAACCTTTGAGTTGAACCTTGGTGTGAAAGTTGTAGCCTGCAGGCACGGTAACCAGGTGACTGGAGTACGCATGAACATGTGACCGCTTATTCAACCATATTCGGTGGAAGTGGGGAGTTCGATTGGGAATAAAGGCGGAAAGGATTGTCTCAGCTTCCTTGGACCAAGACCATTTGACTCAGCACCCCGAAGACTACACCTGGTGAAAATAATATCAATTTTTTTAGGCTTAACTTCCCCTTCAAGCTCATTTTGTCAGTAGGCATTTTGTGTTTGTGTAACGTGCATGTCTAGGTGAGTGCATGTGTGTGTGTGTGCGTGCGTGCGTGCGTGCGTGCGTGCGTGTGTGTGTGTGTGTGTGTGTGCGTGTGCGTGTGCGTGTGTGTCTGTGTCTGTCTGTGCGTGTGTCTGTGTGTATGTGTGTGTGTGTGTATGTGTGCGTGTGTCTGTGCACAAAATCATTGTTGTTAGTGTGTTTTGAGGTAAAAATAATTTACAATGATACTGCGGTGTGTGTGTGTGTGTGTGTGTGTGTGTGTGTGTGTGTGTGTGTGTGTGTGTTCAGATTCAGATGATGAGATTAAAGATTCTCCAGTGTCTCACGAGATTGTTGTACCAAGTAAGTAAATTCAGCGTACTCACATGCATTAAGCAAACCTTCCGTGTTTGGCTGTGCACAATGGTAGTATAGCATCAGTCCGGGTCCTCACTTGAACCATGCATTGTATCATTGATGTAGAAGCTAATCTCAACAACAAAAAAACAGCTCAAAGGATGTACAGGTGCTGCAGAGATGCATCACATTTTTAAAAGTGCAGTTATATGCTTGGTTTTGATCTTTCCACTGCATCTAGGTTGAATTACTGATATATATATATACATGGGCTGTCAGAGGTCTTGGAGGAGCAAGTCTGTACATTGATAGACGCTGATCCTCTTCCATGTATCAAACATGGCCAACATGAGATCGTTGGCGCACCGAAACGAATATGATAGGCATTCTTCGGGGGGTTGAAGAGAACAAAGAAAGGTTGAAGGTACGGCATATTGTAAGCAAAACTTGTCCCAGTACTAAATGCACTTTTCATGGCAACTGTCCTATTCAGAATCAACTCACAGACCTCATCCTTTGAATTTTCTTTGTTTTTATATTTTAGTCATTCTCTGTGTTCTGTCGGGGTGGTTTCAGGTCGAAAGTCCAAGGTGAAAGGGCAAAGGAATGGCGTTGCGGGCAGTCATCATGCCAATACCAGCCGCCAGAGAGGCAGCAGCACAGCAACACTGTACGCCGATGGTGTGATACCGGTGGAGCCCAATGGTTAGTCATGCGCATGCTCGGCTATGTCGACTTCAAGCCCAGCTGCTGTTCTCAGCTTGTATTATAATGGCTGCCACCTCAGTGCAGGCTGAGTAGACTAGTCTAAACTAGGGTATAGAGTGCGGAGCTTTATGCCGAACATGTGTGCTTCCAGTGGAGAGCCTAGGAGAGTACTTAGTATGCATGGCTAGTGAGGGGATTATCACTTCATCACTACCAGTAGCAAAGTCGAACTTCATTGACAATGGGCTGCATCAACCATCCTTAGTTCGGTGAGTTGTTGGTAGCCAACCAATACCTTAGCTGGTACCTTGGCAGTGTTTTTCAAATTATCTGCCAGCTGTGATATAGTATTTTGAAGGTTTTTTTCCGCTGCATGCAGTCGCCTGTTGTACATGTAGGAGTAGATTGAAATGATGCGCTTTTCCCGCAGGTGCAGTGCATGCTCTACTTAAACACAGGCCAGCAATGGTCAAGGTTACACTCTAACTCACGTTACTGGAAGAGTATACTCAACTAGTCAGGTTTCACTCTAACTGGAAGCGTGTACTGAACTATAAAACAGAGAGGTTCCAGGCTGTCCAATAGAGTGCTCAATGCCTAAAGGCAGAGCTAGGTCCAACAAGAATAACAGGATGAAAACGTGTTTTTACTCCGAGTTTCAGGCACTAAGCGATCATCAGATAACACACTGAACTGTACATGGACCGGACAGACAGAGCTCTTACTCATCTGGTGGCATCACCCACTGGCATCTACATAGCTGTGTCTGACATGTGTATCACTGACTTGCCGTGCTCTCAAATGATGATGCTGCAGAAAAGTCAACTCTTGCGAGGTCATCTCCAGGCACGCCCAGTGCAACTCTTGCAAGTGCTGGCAAAACAAAAGAAGGTAAGGGATGTCTGAAGATGCTTTTCCGGATCAACAACATTATCCCGAGCATTAAAGAACGACGTTTGGATAAATGTGCTAAATTACAATATCGGTATGGATGCAAGCTCAGTTTTCCAACTATATATTACTCATACAGTGGACCTCAATCATCCATGTGACAGTTCAAGAGGCAAAGTAAACAGAACAGAGAACAGTGAAAATACAAGGTGGTCATTTTGTTTCAAATATATCCCAAAGTGTGGAAGAATTTGAGTTGAGTTTGGAAAATGAGCTACAATTAATGGTGTATTGTTACTTTGGGTCTGCGTGGAAGTCTTTGCTGACTGCCATTATAAGAGAAAGGGCTCAACCAAACTGTGATGCATTGTTTTCTTCTGTCTTATCACAATATTTCCTTTGTGCAGAGCAAAGTCCGCATGCGGCAGCGACAGCGATGCTTAATGTGGCATTCTCCGGTATATCGGAGCATCTAGCAAAGCCCGAAGAAGAGGAAGAGAGGAGTGCGACGGCAACACTGATGTCTGTGAAGGAAACATCAAGAGGTAGGTATGAACGGAGATTTTGAATTTGATGGGGTGTCACTGATACCAAGCACATCGCATGGACACGTTGCGCACCATTGAATTGGTCACCATTAATTTTAACATTTCTTTCCATGTGCAATGGAAAGCTACGGAAATGTGGATTCAATTCCAACCAGGATTGGTTATTATTTTTGATGACCTCCCACCTGGGCTTGGCTTTGATCCCATCACTTTCACATGCCATTGGTTACCGAGATATGGGGATGTATGTGTGCATGTGTGTGTTTGTGTGTGTGTGTGTGCATGTGTGTAAGTATGTCTATATGTGTGTGTATGTGTGTGTGTGGTGTGTGTGTGTGAGGGGGTGGGTGTCTGCGTCCGTGTGTGCGCGCATGTGTGCGCTTATGTATGCATCTGTGTGTGTGTGTTTGTGTGTGTGTGTTTGTGTCTGTGTGTGAGTGTGTGGGTATGTGTGTGCATGTGAAAGACATTGTCCATAGTAGGCTTTGAAAACGAGTTTGTGTGTATAATTATTATCTTACCTGCAGATCGCTCAGTGCAGAGACCCACTACACATCGTGATGCAACGGCAATGCGAACACGTGATGGAACTCTGGACAAGACAAGTTATGCTTTCCATAATCCACCCTCACCAGGCATGCGCATGACAGCCAAACCAGGGAGAGAATGTGACGTAGAGATGAATGGCTTCAGCTATGATGAGCGGTTACTGAAACCTCCAACGTTTTCACCATTTCTTCCAGGTTAGTTACGGGAGCATGTGGCATTCTTCTATACCTTAACAGGCATGATTCTTTACCTTAAGTTAACAGGCATGATTCTATACCTTAACAGGCATGATTCTATACCTTAACAGGCATGATTCTATACCTTAACAGGCATTCTTACATGACACGTGACCGTATCCTAGGAATTGTCTAATCACCACCTTTCCCGCCGCGGGCATGATTGAGCCATCATGCCCGCTGCCCTTGGCAACACTGACGTCACTTCAGGTATGATTGACAATCATGCCCGTGGTCAAGTGGCAACGAGATGTAGCCAATAATGTGACAAGGCGCGGGTTTTGAAGAAAGAAGTGGAAGTGCATGTAGAAAGGAATGTCGCTTGTCTTCTTGACTCTTGTTACTTCGTGTGTTCTCGCTGTGACTAGTGCAGAGTGACTTTTCGCCGAACTGTGCTAGTCTTTGGCTTGTTTCAATATTTGAGTAGGCTACGTTCCGTGCGTGCGCATGGGTCAAGTAAGAAATCCAATCATACACGGTCTGTCGGGCTTGCTGACTGTATCATGCCCTCGCTCCCAGCCCTCGGGCCTACGGCCCTCGGGCTGAGAGCTCAGGCATGATTCAGCCATCAAGCCCTCCAGACCGTGTATGATTATAATTATACTTCTTCTACACCCTAACCCTTTGCCGGTCTAACTCAATGTATGTGAGGGGTGGTCACGCAAATACATGTACACACAACCAGCAATAACTCGAGAACCATGTGATGTAGGTATGGGTAAACCATATATTTTCAAAATCTGTGTGCCTGAACACGTCCAGAAAATTCAAATATGACTAGGTCCAGGCAAAGATAGGGCCCATGGTAGCCCTTCAAGTTGAGAGAAAATACAATTGCGAATGAAATACACGAATATCACAGCACGAAGGGCATACCAAGTTCGTGATGGAGCTGAAGTCGTACGATAAACAATCAGGTAAGGGCTACGTCTTTACAAGAAATGTAGGCTCTCTACAATACCGCCATTGAACACCAACACCTCGCCATCGGCGATACGCCAGCAGCAGCAATTCCCATTGCACGATATCGCAGTTTCGGTTTGTTCATCTCAGCGCTGCTCGCGTCAGATTCACTCTCGCTCAGATGAGTACTCAGGCGCGAGCTTACGCATGCCGTGATTCTCACGGCCAGGCGAATCAGCTGATCGCACCTGACGAGTCCTTGTGACAGTCGCTGTCGCCATGTCGGCAGCAAGAAGGCTTCCTCTCTGTTTGGAGAATTTCGTTTCTTCATTCGTGGACGATATATTTTTGAACTAGCAGGACTCAACGGAACTCTTTTTCTCAACACACTACACTGCAAAACCTCCCGGGACATCCAGCCTGGACTGGTGATGTTACTGCTCTCAGAGCGCTTGTCAAACACGGCCCCAAGAGATGCACTCGCATTCTTGAAATGCGCGCATGGCGGATGGTCGTCTTTTCCAATTTCAACAAACTTCAGTCGATCGATACGGCAAAAATTTGTATGGTAAGCATGGTTGTTTTGCACATCGTCAGAAAGCCTTGGACCTCAGCTACGCGTAGAGCGCCATTTTAGCTGTCTCCTAGCAACAAGACCTCCAAAAAATGAGGGCCTAACGTACCGATACTATAGTATCGGTACGCTTATGGTAGACCGGTAAAGGGCTAACAGGCATGATTCTATACCTTAACAGGGATGATTCTATACCTTAACAGGCATGATTCTATCCCTTAACAGGCATGATTTTAGAAGAAAAAAAGCTCCCTTTTCTCTCAGGCAAATGTACACGTGCTAATTTTGAATAGATGGTGCAGACACCAACAATGCAGCTGCTGCTGTTGAGGTGAAGGTGGGTGGGTAGCTACTGCTGCTGCTGCCACAGTGGTAGCTGAAATAACTGCTGCTGGCAGCGGCGATGAGGGGGCTACTGCTGTTGTAGCTGCCTCAGTGGTACATGTCACCAGAATATAATTTCAACTGAAATTTTTAAAGAACTAATTACAAGATTCCCATGTTTTTGAGAGGCTCCATCATCCACGTATATGCGTGTACATGTACTTGTAGTAAATTTGTCCATTTTGCCAGTACATGTACTCGTTATGATAATCACCAGCATCATCTCTGTGTGCATTGCCCTGTGGTCTCACTCTGCTTTGAGATATTGTACAAGTAGGTACATGTTCAGGTTAGTTTGACAGCATGAAACAAGGTGGAGGACACTGTGTTCGGAAACAGTGACCTTACTACAGCCATCCACGGTTGGCAGAGAGCCCCGGTCCGTTGGGACCATCTGAACCGTAATTATGGGTGTTGAACCCGGTTCTGGCTCTGCCAACCGTGGATGGTTGTAGTAAGGTCACTGTTTCCAAACACAGTGGCCTCCACCTTGTTTCATGCTGTCAAACTAACAACATGTGTAAACTATAACAAGGTTTATCTAATACTACAAGTAGTACTGAACTAGTATTGGGTTATATAAGTAGGTACATGTAGTTCTATGTTAGGTATATTGTAGTTGGGCTAACAAGAAGATGTTCTGTACTCTGCTCTGTGCTGCTGCCCGGCCCCTCTCTAGCGGACCCAGAGAGCAACCAGAGTGTCTCCACTGTCCAGGAGGACACCGGCAAGATGCTGGATGAGGAGCAGGACGGTGAGGGTGAGGGTGGTGATGGTCGCCGTGAGCTACGTAGGATTGACGGCACTATGCATAGCACCGTACAGCGCTCCATGCAGCTGATGCAGAAGACCGACCAGGACAATATACAGCAAGCCAGCGTGGTGGAGTATGCCTGTAATTTTGCCGGCATGACCAGCGCCGAACCTGTCCTTTATGGACAAATGCCGGCAGAGAGCAATGGAGATGACGGGTACAGAGCTGATGAGGATGATACACGCACCATGGATCAAACTGTGCTATAAGGGTGCAACACTTCACCACTGCCAAGCAACTATGCTCACAGCAGAGACTTCTGTGTGTGTTCTTGTTGTGAAAGTGGACCACAAAGACTGATCTCCGCCTGTGTCCGGAATTTCTTTGTGATTGCACAAGCTATCAGGCTGAACTGGTAAGGTGCTCTGCTCTGCACAAGACCAAGTGATGAGTCAACAGGAGGCGTGATCGGCCTGACGGCGGATTTCCTACTCGTCAACTATTCTCATATAGGTTTAGGATTGTTGTGGGGAGGACAAAGCCACCGTCTGCCGTTCTGGTCAGCAAGTCAGGAGATCGCTGTCGTGGCTACACATGTACTATGCTAGGGTGTTTGCCGCGTTGCAACTTAGCACGGGACTGAACCAAGATCACCCGGTAAACTCTGAATAATTCAATAAGGCGGTAAAGAAGCTACACTGGTGTTCAGAGTAGGACCTGCTGGTTTTACGCTTGTAAGTGAGTCAGTACTCAGTACTCAGTAGTCGCCAACATGACTCACTGACTTGTGTAGTCATGTATGCAGAGAGGAATCATCATGATTCATGCCCCCCCCCCCCCCCCCCCCAGACTCCTGTATGAATCTCACTCCATTCTTGATGATCAATCAGTCATTATGTTATTATTGTATTGCTCGTTCTCTGGCGGACAGCCAGCTGCTTCGACCTAGTTAGAGGTTCTGTCAGCGGTGGACCCCGCGATGATGCATTGCGGTATTGCTGTATGACTGCTGCCATCTTGACTTCCTGCAAATTGTGCAATCCATACGCTGCATGCATTGTTGAAAACATGACCTTGCTGCTGGTTACACTGGTGGTTTGTCACCACGTTGCTCACCGGCGACAAATTCTTATCCTTGTTGATTAGGATACGAGTGCTATCTTCCTTATTCCTTTGCTCACGCTGACACACAATCTACTAGTAGGTCTACATTGACAGAGGAGAGAGAGAGAGAGAGAGAGAGAGAGAGAGAGAGAGAGAGAGAGAGAGAGAGAGAGAGAGAGAGAGAGTGAGAGTGAGAGTGAGAGTGAGAGTGAGAGAGTGAGAGAGTGAGAGAGTGAGAGAGTGAGAGAGTGAGAGAGTGAGAGAGTGAGAGAGTGAGAGAGTGAGAGAGTGAGAGAGTGAGAGAGTGAGAGAGTGAGAGAGTGAGAGAGTGAGAGAGTGAGAGAGTGAGAGAGAGAGAGAGAGAGAGAGAGAGAGAGAGAGAGAGAGAGAGAGAGAGAGAGAGAGAGTGAGAGTGAGAGAGAGAGAGAGAGAGAGAGAGAGAGAGAGAGAGAGAGAGAGAGAGAGAGAGAGAGAGAGAGAGAGAGAGAGAGAGAGAGAGAGAGAGAGAGGATCCAAGTGGGAAAAAAGGAAAGTTTCATGCCGAAGCAAACATCTCTCTTTCTATAATGTGAAAGACTACGCTATTATATACAGAATATACTGGAGCAAGGCGTGAAAATGGCCCTTGAAAATTTGCAGAGAATTCTCGAAAATTGGCAGAGAATTCTCGAAAAGCAGAGTATTTGACAGAACCACACAAACCTTATGGCAGGCACGACCCTGCTGCTCCATTTCTTTATCCACATACCAATGATATGCATGATACATACCAGAAAACGTAACAAATTCTGCCAATTTGCTGCCGCCATTATCTTCCAAGGGCTAACGAACAATCAACAACTCACGTGATCACGCGTGTGACAAACCAACAAAAAAGCTATTGCAGAAGTATGAGCTCTACCCGACGTCAGTTAGCACAAGTGCTTAAAGTCGATCACAATCCATCACAATTTTTGTGTTTTATTATATTTTTAAGGATTTCACAAAGGCTTTGGGTCTGTCGAGGGGATCTCCTGCAAGAAGCATGAAATGACAACTTTATGTAGAGGGAGCAGTTAATCGAGGATAGGCTAAGGAAATAGATCGAGGCATACAAAATCTGGTAATTAAGGAGTTGGGATAATGAGGTTCGTGAAGTAATAAATTTGTCTCGTGCAGTCAGCAACCTTCAGATATGTGACTTCAGACGCGGCCAATGATTTTGTTGGCTGTCACTGTCAGTTGGCTTCTATATTTCACCCATATTGTTCTCACACCTTTATACACTGTACTCTTAGGAGGTGTATCTTTAAATGCATTGATTTTATGCACCAGTACCAGTACCTGACTTTGTCCCTGCGATTGACTTTGCGCTTGTGATAGTTGTGTCTCGGTTCATAACACCTCCACTCTGCACTAGGCAGATTCTACTACGTAGATATCTATGACTGATTGTGTTAGTTTGTCACATGTGCAGTGACGGGTTGAGTGAACACACATTGCGCCAATATCTTCTGCGTAAAAGAGCATTCTTCAGTTCGACCCTTTCGTAAACTGCTTCTCTTGACTTCTGTTGAGTTCTCCGGCGTTATCTTATGGAACGAAACAAGCAAGACTTGTGAGGAAGTCGAGACCTCAGGTCAGCCGAGTACACTAGGTCTCACAGCCCTTTTCCTTCTCTTGCTGTTGTGGACTGTGGCTGGTGAACTGTTCGTGCTGTTGTCTGCAAGCGTCGTGGTGTCTCGTCTGATCAACACAAGAATCAGATTCTATTACTGCTACTAATTACTATGAATATACGGACCGAATGAAGACGGCAACAATGAACCGTGATAGTGTCCCTGTCATCATGGTCATTAGAGACGCTCCGCGCCATGGTGAGTCTGGTGACCGAACTTCCCACACGAAAACCAACGTTCAACGAAGAGAGGCTGAGACTTGGAGCGCCACAACTACAGTTGACTTTCTGCAGTGTCTGCACCAATTTGTCGATACGCGCCAGCGCTAAAGACCAATGTTTGCATGGCGGTATGGTCCTGGAAGGCAGTCCGCTAACCGAAACCGAAACCAGCCGTCATAGGCGTTCATAACCGAATCCTCGGCTGAGAGCAATGCTGATTTTATGGCCTGACTGTCTACAGTCTTGGAGCAATCCTAGCCTCTCTAGATCCTCGCCTACGTAGATCTACGTTGATTGGTCGAGTAGGGCCTAGAACTTGCTGGGGCATCCACTGGCCTAGCGCCTCCGGACTCCGCACTCGTCTCAACAGCACTACCCATGGTTACCAACTAAACGATCCGTTTCTCAACACTTTACGTAACTCCGTCTAGTACTCAGTAGTAGCCGGTCTACCACTGTAGAACTAAAACCGGTTTGTTTGTATTTTCAACTATTTTGTATTTCATGGATTCTCCACAGGCCTTTAATAGCGTAAATCGAGGGAGTCTCCGTCAACAGCTTTTGAAGGTGAGTAGCCAGTCGCATGCATAGTGATACTCTGAAGTAGGCTGTTAGTAGTAGTAGTTATAGTAGTGTAGGGAGGTTTCGCTCTACGGAATTCCGTATGAAAATAACGTAGGAACTGCACGGAATTTTCATACAAGTACGTAAAAATCAGAGCTGTTGGGTTTCGCTCTACGTGATTTCTCCACGACTGCTAAACATGCGCTGTTGATTTGGAGACGCGTTGGCTGCATGCGCCCACCGCATGCACCGTGAGCCGAAATCGCATACTTATTCCATTTTATTTTGCACGTGGTGTACGGTGTGTGTACCTTGTGTTTTGCGCGGTTTGAACGTTGCCATGGGCCCATGGCCTATATGAACTAATGCGGAAAATGCGAAAAAAATATTTCAAAAAGTCCTACGGAGGACCCAACATAGGAAAGAGTTTTCCTACTGAAATCCGTAGAGAGATTTACGTATGAAAGTTGCCCTCGCTCCCCGGTGCGTACGGCATACGGATTTTCATACGTAATTACGTAGAGCGGAACCTCCCTAGTAGCCTGTTACAAAAGACGGGGATATCAAATCGTGTTTTACATGTTAGTTGAACGGACACTGTTGAAAAATTCTCCTTCCGGTCAGCCAGGTTCCGTTGATCTGTGTCAGTGCGTGCATCTGAATTAGCGAAGTTTGGATGCAGGGCATTACATGTGCATGTAGCGTATGAACCTGGACATACCATAATGTCCATAGCCTTCATCAAACATAATACGAGTACATTTCTCAATGTGCACAGACTAAACTGTAGCCATCCATCACAAAGGCTGTTCGAAGAGTTTTGTGAGTATCATCATATGTATGGTTTTTCCTCCAAGGTAATAATTTTTAAAAAATTAAATTAAAAATTTCACGGTTCGCGTGAGACTCGGCTGGAAGGCGGGTTTTCCGCATCCGTAGGAACGCCACCACCCTTCAAGGATCAAGGCGCAGATGCAGCTCCTAAAGCGGTGGGAGGTGAGTAGATCAGCTCACCAGCAAGTGGTCAAAGACCGAAAATCCCATTCACTGCATCCATGTTTTCCTCGTGCCAGGCTACGAGTTCCCAATTAACTGTGGGTCGCAGCACCAATAATGTTTAAAACATCTTTAATTAAAGCAGGGGAAATTCCGCAACAATAGGAATTGAAGTAAAGAGCACAACTCAAATATAACTCAATAGAGCGAATAATACATCAATATCTATCAACAAAGTAACACATTAGCCGAGATCAGCTTGCCTAAATTCAGGGAACATAAAAAAATATTGCAAAATCATCAAAAGTATAATTCATTGTTTTCCCTAGCAGCAACAGGTGAATTTCAATGTCTCTATTAGCTTTAGTGTTAGTCTGCATAGTACTTCCTGAAGTACATTTGTGCAAATCATATTATCAAGCAAAATTGGTTCAAGTTTTCCAATTTACCGAATCTTTAAAGTTTGGATCAAATTCTCAAGCAGCAAGGAACGATCCCTCTCCCCTTCTTCCTTCACAGTCGCCGGCGCTGGAAGGTCAGCTGACTTGCTGACTTAGTCAATACGCACGTTCTCAATTTGATAGAGATGGGTCAGAATCCTCCGTGTGTGCAGTCAAGTCATTACTGTACGATGTCACCTCCCACTGTACGATGTCACCTCCCACTGTACGATGTCACCTCCCACTGTACGATGTCACCTCCCACTGTACGATGTCACCTCCCAATGTATGATGTCACCTCCCACTGTACAATGTCACCTCCTAGTCCACATTGCGAGGACCGGTTCTCCCTGCAGAGTGCCCAGAGCCAAACAAATGCAGAGCTTGTTGAAGCACAGAGCTGGAGATAATTCAAGACCTGTGGCAAAGTCATGCCAGGTTTCAGTTGATAATTATACAAGGCATGCAAACCCAATCCTGGAAAGGATAGGTTCAACATGGTACAGGTTAGGCTGCTTTAGTGTTGCATGCATTATGCATGCACTCCGGTGCTAAAGCAACGCACCATCTTGATGTCTGTGGTGCAACCTAACTTATGGCCGTAAGTTTGGCTTACTTAGAGCTTGAAGCTGTACTGATGAGGTCTAGATAACTGAAATAGCTAGCTGTCTACAGCAAGGGGTAGACAGCATGTAACCAGTAACCAGTAACAAGCTAACCAGCAAAGAACAGCTACATGTTTTAAAAGAGAGTGAGAAGAGTGTGTGTGTGTACATGTGTGTGTGCGAGCGTGCGTGCGGGTGTGTGCATACACGCCCGTGTGTGTGTGTGTCTGTCTGTCTGTCTGCGTGTGCGCGCGTGTATGTATTTTCAAAAGCACTGGCTTGTTTGGACACATTGCCGGATCATGTTCCCCTAGAAGTGTCTGTTGTGACGTTGCTAGTTGCATTTCAATACCGGCCAGTGCTATTCTACCCGACAGTTTGAGAACTATGCCATGCATTGCTTTGTTTACCCGCACCAGCTCTGCACATGGAGAAAGGCGCAGTGAATGAGTTACACAGCTAACGCCGGGTGCCAAGGGCTGCTTTAGGTTGCGGTGGTGCAGAAAATGAAGCGTTTAGATGCCAAGCGTGACAAATGCCAAATTTGAGACATTAAGATTTCGAGCTCAGTGCAATTAAAAAGTCCTAGGAGCAAGTTCAGGCAAATTTCACATTCAAAATCTGACTATAGTCAGTTTCAAAAAAATTAGCAATCGGGTTTTGGTCTTAAAAAGTATGAAGATAAGGGAAATTCGGACATCAAAGTACAAACGGCTTGTTAGGGCACGGCAAATCGTTCTGTGAAGGTTTCGGAACAATTGAACCAGCCGTTAAGGAAATAGAATTTCGGCCAGGTTTCTGGCCGAATCCCATGGTTTACAATTTGCCCTGGAAGCCAGTATTGATTTTTTTTTAAATCAATACACCACGATTTATCCCTTCCTTTTTGGTCTTGTGGTTATGAATGCTGTCTGATGACCATGATTTTCTGGGTTCAAATCCCAACCAATCTTCAAATCAAACCTTTTTTCATTGTTTAGGGGATCAAGCTGGTACAAGACGAAAAAGGTGGCTGCTGTTGTAGCTTGCGCTTCCTGCCGAACTGACTGACACTTCACTGGCTCACGCCATGTGAACACACCTACAACACTGAAACGGTGTGAGTGAATAGAAGTCATTGCGCTGTAGCTGCGTGTTGAATACACCGGCACATCGATCGATTTCTTGTTGAGAATTGTTTTAGAGAATTTCAAGATCGCCAATTTCTTTGAATTTAGGAGTCAGTGCCGACATGCCGTCTTCTACCAGTCTTCACAGGCGTCTGGTTTCCTCAAAACGTCATCGAAGTCACACGGATGGCTTTGCCAAGTCATGGCCTTGAGAATGAGTCCGTGTCCATGTCGTTTTCGTCACATCATGAGAGAAAATAGCACCGCAGCTCAACGAAACTATTTGGTCAGAAAACGGACCCATGCCGCGCTTCAACATTTACCACACTTTGGACATGTCTTCTCTGACTCCATATCGATACAAGGAAGAACTCGTTTGTTGTAAACCAGACATACACGTACGTACGTGAGTGAGTTGTCATTTTTCATGCTTTCGCACGAAATATTTCTTCGAGTTCACAGCGAGTTTTTCCAGGCAGCTCATACGGTAAGACGGCAAACTCCCCAGGCGATCGCCAGGATTGCTAATCTTTTAGAAACTGACTGTAGGCCCACTTTAAAAAGGGTGCCCACATTTTGAATTAGATACAAATCA